TGCATTTCCCAAATATTCTCAATTAACTTAACCTCACAACTAATTCCATTGAGCAATATAAGAGTTTTATTTGGGAAGTCCAGTTTCATTGTATTTTCCTGGAACCATGGCTAACCCAATATCAGTACAGATTCAAGCTCGGATTTATTGGTAATAAATACTTCACTAACTTTCACTTGCTTCCATTTCCAATCTAAAGACAGGACCGAAATTTCTATTGCATGAATTATCCCCAATATATTGAGCTCACTAATGGGACCGTATATTTTCATATCAGAAATATTATTGATTTTCAAGCCTACTATTTTTGCTATACTCTCGCCTATAATATTACAATTAGCACCAGAATCTAATATAACTGTAACTAGTACTTTGTTAATTTCACAGGATAAAGTTATCATTGTAATGTTTTATTATAACAATATATTTAATTCTACATTTTTTTTAATATGTATTAATAAATAATTTAATATACAATGGTCGAAGCTAATAACAGTATTGTGCCAGTTCATCAAAATTTATTGCAAAGCCATGATCCAAAGGGTCTACAAGAGAATGATGATAAAATTGCATCACTAATAGAAGCAATGAAAAAAATATTTATATCAGTTAATGGTAAGAATACAAAAGCAGTTTATGATTCAGGTTGACAGTATTCAACTATTACATATGAAAAAGCAAAAGAGCTGGGCTTGGAAATAGATGAAATCTCACCTCAAATTAACAATATGATAGTGATAGATCTTGTCAAACAAGTACTATATAAAGAAATTCAAATATCTCTCTGTGAATTACTGAAGATAGTAAAATCCAAGGTTTGACAAGATATTATAAATTTGATAGCAAAGTCAAATATTACTAAAAAATGCAAGATACCATGTAGGGGTAAAAGACGATGTAAAGTTAATAAGACTTTTTTAAATGATTCTTCATCTTTATATTCAACTGGATCTAGCTCTGAATCCAAATCCGATTCTGATTCTGATTCTATTATTGAGCTTGATGGACATGTAATAAAAGCAAAGAAATGAGATTAGTTATCATTATTATAGATTTGAAATGGTCTTGCTTGATCTGGAGTTTGTCCCTTTTTCTGGTAGTTTATCACGACATAGTTTTGTACTGGAAAAGTAAAATTATCATGGTTGTGGCGTAGGGTTTCTTTAGCAATTATATATGCGTGGGTCATATTCTTAGCATCATGTACTACCACAGTATAAACAGCACTTATCTTTTATAAGTATTTAGGAATTAAATCATAGTTTTTTAAGAATTTATTGAACTATTTAATTCCAGGTTTACCTGGATTACCAATTCGTCCAGATGATATAGCATGCTGAATCCAAGTAAACAATTCCTTAGCTTATTCTTGATCCTTCTCCATAGATCTAAATTTCCTAGGAATATCTGGCTAACCCTGATTTTTCGCATATCTTGTTACTCCAGCATCTGTAATACGCAACATTATAAGTTCAGCGAAATGTATATAGAGCATCAGTATAACATTAGCAAGAGCCCAATAATCGAGTAAAGTTTTTAAATCATATGTATATAATCTCTCTTTAACTAATTCTAATGTAAATTCATCTGGATAATTAATAGGATTAGCTTTGGCTTTTTTCTGATTGTCTCTCTGGATTTTATTAGCTTCTTCTGTAAAATCTGGAAATTTCGTAGCCTCAACTATTGTGGATAAAGCATTAAGATTTCTTAATTCTCTTCTAAGTCAGGAAAGACGTGATGAACCAGCATTAGCATTTTTTGCTGATAGGGCTAAGGCATAAGCTTCAGCTCTTATGTCCCGAATACTAAGTTTATCCTGTAAAAGCCGATGCACCATCTTTCCAATTGTTTTTTGTGTGGCCTGATTGAAAATAACAATGTTTATTGTGGAACAAGGCACTTTATGCATAGTTTTGTTTTTTTGATTAAACATTTTTCTGAATAGAGAGATGACATAAGTCACTTTGCACAGCAAATAAGTTATTAACTTGATCCTCGCTAAACCCATATCTATTTTGCAAAATTTATTTTGCTTTCTCTTTGATAATCTCTTCTTTTGAATTTTTTGGAGGCTTGGTTATAGCTATTCTACAATTACCTTCAACCAAATTTATAGTTTTATTTTTTTTACTTCTCTGATAAAGTATCAATACATCTACCTGATTATCGCTAAATTTAAAACCATTCTAAAGATGTCTATATGCCTGGTTTTGCTTTCTATTATCGATAAGGTTTTTAAGAAATTCTGAGGTGTATTGACTGAGTTTGGATACACTCATCTTAGAACTAAGATTGTATTTTTCAATAATTTTAGTTACGATGGCTGATATGATCTAATGTTATATTAGGTTAAGTAGTTTATAGACAATTCTTTAGGTTATATATACTATAGAAGATAATTTTCCAAATCAAAATTAATTACCCCCATGCTTAGAAAAAGAGAGTATATGTTTACATATGAGGTAATCGGGATGTCAATTTGAAATTTAAATTGTTCTTGCATTTTTAATATATTATTTATGACACATTCAAGAATTTTTAATATACTAGAAGTGTTAAAACGAATTTTATATTTCTTGTTGATAAATAAATCTCTCTATCCTGCTCTATTTGTTTCTTGATTGTGGTACAGGTGTGGTGCACCTATTCTATGGAAATGCATTGAACTAGAGATAAGTAATATATGAAAGATTTTTATGATAATAATACGGGAGTGGAAGCCAGTTTATTGCTTGAATATAACTTATTTAAAAATTCCATATTACTACCATCTTTCAGATAAAAAGTTCAAAATTATTGTGGGTCTGTTCCCAAATATAGTTCATTTAGATATCGCTTTTAGTAAGAGATTTAGTGATAAAATATTAAACCGAATAGCAAAATCATATACATATCTGAAGTATCTCAACTTGGTGGAATATAGTGATGGATTAATAACTGATAAAGGTTTATATGCAATCATAAATTCATGTCATAAATTAAAATATCTGAATATCTCTTACCACAAAGAATTTTCTGAAATAGTGATTTGGAATGTTATCTATTCTTGTCCAAAGCTCCAAGAGTTTGATATTCGTGAATGTAAAATTTCCTATATAACTATCAAGGAAATTGAACTATATCTTAAAATAAAATATATTAATTCAGATATTGCCAACAGATATTTGAAAAGAATCAGTTAGGTCAGATCTGTCAATTTTAAATTTACTATTACATAGGATATAATAAAAAAAATTATAACTTTGAGTTGTTACAACTCAGGTTTTATAATATATCAGTTTATTATTATCTTCTATTTTTTATAATGCTTGAAATAGATTCCAGTATTTTTCTATATTTATAAATCATTTCCTGTAAATATCAGGTCTGCTTTCCATTATAGCAATTGGAGGTATCATAGCTGAATGGGACAGACTATTCATGAATCTAATTTGCTCAGGATAGTAATAATCTATTTTATCCGGTAATTGTAGAAATTCAGCTAAATCTTTTACATACCTGAAGCCATTGCGCATTAATCTGTGAAATGTTGGCCTATTGTGATCGATCTCTCTTTTAGTTAATAAGTTGATTACTTTCTGTGGTGTTTCCATTTTTAAGTATAATGTATAGTGTCAATATATATTCGATTATATTATTACAAAATAATTTGGAAAAGTTTAAATTGATTTTATATCAAATATATTCATATAAAAAGTGAGACAGGCTTTATATATTATATATTAAATCACTTTGAATGGAATATCCAACCAGTCAATATGTTAAAGAAGACGATTTGGAGTGTTCAACATATCAATATGTTAAAAGAGATAGTCCAGAGCATTTAACCTGCCCATATGTTAAAAGAGATGGTTCGATTTGTGGAAAAGGTTGTTAGTGGGACATAGGATGTTCATTGTACTGGAAATTATATGATATGAATATAGCAAAATTTTCTTGTGAGATCTGTGAAAAACTAACAATTTCTGGGATGGTATATTGTCCTAAACATGCGAAAAGAATTTACTTTCGAAATTGGTATAAGAGACAAAAGGCACAGAGAATAGAAGCAGATGAACAATTTCATAGATCCTGATTTTAAGAGTCACAAAAATAGTTTTTGTAATAGGATATTTTTTATACCCTGGCATGAGCTCTGCTTTACAAGTATCAATTTTAAGTGTCACAAAAACCCCTTCTGTAATATAAAATAGCTCTGGAATCACTGTAAAGTTAAATTTTTTTAATTGTATTTTTTAAGTATTACAAAAATCCCCTTTGTTAGATATATTATGGATCTTAAATACTTGTATTAAACGAAAATAGGTTCTGTGTATCTTGTGTGATAGAATTGGAAAAGGTTTCTAATTTATCAAGTGAGAGTTTACTATATCTATATCGTATATCTTCGTTATTTTCATAAAAGGGCCCTTCACTTGTTTGATATGTTGGTAATTCAGTGCATTTTCATTATCAAATGGTCCAACCAGGCAGTAATACCTAAGATGTTTATCTGTAGCCTTGAATTTTAATCCATAAGTTATAGAGATTACTGAATTCAATAAACCAAGTTTCGCTTTGTCTAATTTTAAGTCAGATTTTTTAGCACTATGAGATGCATCTGTATTATCAAAGACTCTTGCCATTTTAGGTACTAAATTCTGAAGATATTTTATAGATTGGATTGAGTGTAAACAAGTTTTGATATCATCAGCTTTGTATTTATTTCGATCATCAATATCTTTAACAGGTGTGCAAGTCTTTAATAATTTCAAACAGATTCGATATTTTTCAGATTGGGTAACAGTTACTAACCTATCATTTCTATAATCCTCACGAATAATAGTCTCAACTGCAGTCTTATTATCAATACCTGCATCTTATAATTTCCGAAGATTTCTAAACCACTTCATTTTATCATATTTACCATAATCCATAATAAATTTATCGGTCAGAGATTCGGGGGATACTCCATAACATTTTGCAATATGATATTAACTTAAAGCATATATTTCTTTCAAGGTCTTCTTTGGTTTGTTTTCTAGGTGCTCAGCCATCTCGTGATTGAGAATATTAGCATTAGCAATATCTAAATTTTCCTTTGCTTTAATAATTGAAGAATATACCTTCACCATTCCAGTTAATATCACAATATTATCTACTGGTTTAGGGATAGCTTCTATTATGAAAACTATCATATCTGCCTTTTTGAGAAAATCTACCATCCTCCATCCAAATAAATAATGAGATCAAAATTTTTTCAACATATATGCTACCCATAATTGAATTG